AGGATTTTCATCGATGGGAAGTGAAGCCAACGAATCATGCTTAGTTAAAAAGCAATTTGTGACAAGAATTTTATGCACAGAAGAAGGAAACGTCAAAGAATTAATCGAAAAATTACTATTGACAAATGTCGAATGAAAGATTGCATGATCTCATAACATTTTCCAACAGTAAAAGCAGCGATAATGAAGAAGGTTGCCTTTAACTTATAAGAATTAAACTAGTTGTTAAAAATTGGCATGGAAACTGTCTGATATTGCTGTTGAAACTGTTTGATATTGCTATGGAGATAAACCCAAATAAAGAAATTAGAGAATGGTTTTATGAGAAGTTTTGAAAAGTTTGCCCTCCTTAGCGTGAAAGTTTAAAAGAATTGCTTTAGTCACTGTCATGAACAAAATTCACCAGCTTTATGAAAATAATAATTACATCATATATTTATTAAGAAGTAATGAAAATGCTTTAACATTTTTTTTAATTACAACACTATTTATTGTGTAAATTATATATATTTCATGATCTAAATTATTCCTTATTTTCCCCATAAAACGCTAACTTTACGGAATGCGATTTCTCCGTATGATGTACACTGCGAGGGAGGAAAAAAATAAAAAAAAAAAAAAAAAAAAAAAGGACAGTTCTATAGCTCTCGTTCTACTGGGCCGATTGACAAACTTCAGGGTACTTTTCCGTTTCGCCGGCGTTAATCTCGCCAAGCAGACAGTATTGGCGACAACATACAGTATACACATAAAACATATTAACAAATGTTTACAGAATGTCTAAGAATTTTTTATTTTGAAGGCATAAACATTTTAAAATGGTTTAAAATTTTGTAAAAAACCAATAAATAAAGACAATAAATTTGTAAAAAGACATTCATTCAAGAATTTACTATGCTTTCATGATTCAACATCCTGATCCAACATACTACATGAACCTAAGTGATCTCATCTCACGTAAACTACGCTAAAAAAATCCAATTCTCTCAGTAATTATCTACATTAATTTCAAGTTAAATCTTAATTTGGAATACAAGTTTAAATGAAAGCATTATTTCAATTCATACGAATAGCTTACTCAGAAGTTATGTAAAACCGCAGTGCTTTACTTCACTACAGCATTCTCATTAGAATTGATGAATTTAACCCTTGACTTTTTTTATATTTTAGCCTTCGGGTGAGCGGTGGGATTGCATCCTAATTGACTTAATTACCACGAATGAGAATGGCCTTAGGTCATTAAATTGAACTATAGATATCTGGTAAAAAGTTATGCCAGTATTGAAAGAAACAATCAGTCTGATAAGAAATGGTTGCGACTTGTTTTGAAAATGAGGTGCAAAAGGTTACTAGCGAGGATATTCCGTTTGGCATCGGTTGCACCATTATTGGTGACTTTATGGCCTGCGCCGACAAAACGGAAAAGTACCAAACTGGGATTGCGTTTTTCCTGTCTCGAAAGCGCGACTTAGGATATATATTAGATTTATATATAGCGCTATTCTAACATAGGTATTTTGACACAAAATCGGACATTTTCTGAAATAACATACCAATTTTTTTACATATTTCGATTCTATGATAAATTAATAAAATAATAATAATAATGAGATATTAATAAATATATACCAAATTCAATTAACACTGTGGAGCTAAAATTTTGAGAACTACTTTTTTTTAAATCTACTCGTGCGATTTTTACAAAACTTGGTAGTCTGGCATAATTTGAGTCAGAGAATCGAAATATGGAAAAAACATGGCATGTCATTTCAGGAAAAGTCCGATTTTGTTTCAAAATACCTATGTTAGAATGATGCTATATATATAAATCTAATATATATCCTAAGTCGCGCTTTCGAGACATGGAAAAAGCAATTTGAATTTCGTCAATCGGCCCAGTATCCCTCGCATGCAGCAACTGTTCACTACACATAAAAAACTGCTTTATTTTGAGAAATGTTTTAAGAATTTTATGCTGCGGAAGATGATAAGAAATGAGTAATAATCAAATCAGGTTATTAAATCCATACAATAAAAACTGCTTTATTTTGAGAAATGTTTTAAGAATTTTATGCTGCGGAAGATGATAAGAAATGAGTAATAATCAAATCAGGTTATTAAATCCATACAATCAATCAAACAGCACAGTGTCATTATAATTTACGAAATTCATCTCTTGCGTGATAGGGAACTATTAATGAAGTTTTCTCCTTATGCAAATGATTGTTTCAATACTGTGATTTCGATATTCTTCCGGAAGAAACTGCAATGATTTCTGGTACGATTTCTTAAAAAATCAGATGAACGTCTCTTCTGCTAATCTATTGTTCATCAATATGCTACGAATCATTCCCACTCAAAATAGCGTGCAGTGCTAAATTAATTTAAATCTATACTTAAGTATGTTCCTCTCATTTTTGAAAAATGGTGCTACATAGAGCCTCCAAATTTTGAACACATATATTCTTGACGCGATTAAGTGCACTCAAAGCACTAATTATTATTTTTTTATTCATTTTATCTTTCGTGCGAACTTAACATCAGCTATCAGTTTGTTGGTCAACTATCTTTTGACCAACAAACTGAGCGATTTAAAATTAATGTGGCAAATCGTAACATATTTATGTTTCAAATTTAATCAAAAAACCCGATGTCTTATAGAAATGTGTTGCAAATGGTGCAACAGCAAAGCGTAAGATATTTGTTTTTCAGATTTAATCAACAAATTCGGCGAATTAAAAGAAATGTATTCTCACTACAAGATATAATATATTTTGATCTTCCACGCTCCAACGTGTTCTCATGCAAAAAAGCGTTCTTATTTTATGCAAAAGTTTTTTTTTTTTAAGTTAAAACTATGAAAACATGAATCTTGCGTAATTTTTAAAACATTTGGTTTAACCCTAGTTTACGGTACGAACAGGATTTGGAGACTTTTGGCGATATGATGACGAGCAGTAAACGCAGTATTTATGATGATCAGTAAAAGAATAATTTTGATGTTGGCAACTATATTCAAAATCGCTCTAAGGCCGTACCGTATACTAGGATTTTACCAAACATTTCTGCAGCTGGAAATGTATCTACAACCAACTGTTTCTAAAATAGAGGCTGAGTATGAACGTTTGAGGACAAAATGTATATGTATATATATTAAATGAATTCAAAATGTAATACAATTTTTTAATTTTGTTGGTACTTTTCGAGATATGCCATTTTAATTTTAAGAAAAAAGGGGGAAGAAATAGGAAATTAAAAAAATGAAGAAACGACTGTTTTAAACTGAATCAACAATTTTTCTAAATTGAAATTTCTTTTGAGTTAGGTTTTAATTTTATACAAAAGATATTTAGTTTTATAAGTTGCTTAAAATAAGTATTATTTTTATTTTCGAAAGAAAATCGAATGCTTGTATGATTTTAAATTATTTCCTTTTTTTGCATGTTAATGGTAAGCTCCTCTTTGTAGCGTTAGACTATAATTTTTCAGACTGCAAACAGATTATTTTGACATAATGCTTAATCATAAATGATAACACTTGGAACTGAAACTCAAAATTGTTTATAAATTGAATTCCATGGAGTAAAAATACCGCCTTTGAAATTTAAGGGCGAATTTGAGGAAGATCGGGATTTCTGGCAGGCTTTCATCCTTATTTAGATACTGTAAATTTCTTACTCCCATCTTAGCTCTAGATCTATTAAAACTTATATTGCTTCAATATATTTTAGTTCATGAATCAAAACATTCTAATATGTTTAATAATACTGGAATGATATGCTTTTATACTAGCGGTAGGTTTCTCTTGCTAACCCAGTATCAGACAGTGTAGCTTTCCTAAATGTGTAAACTAAATAATTCACAATATAGGTGACATATTAATAAAAACCCAAAAATATCATAGCGGCTCCAAAAATTATTGTAATACTTATTTACAAAAAACACATATACAGTGGCTCCTCGGTATACGTCCGCGTTGAAATAATGCATCCAACTTGGTATATGTTCTATTTGCGAGCGAAAATTTTTGTATGGTATACAATAAATACTTGTTGTCTGGAATCCGACTCGAGGTCGATGAGTCACAACTGCGCTCATTATTTTTGGTGTCCTCTTTCGAGTATCCCAGTATCAGACTGTCACTCAGACTACGACTGTCTGTAAGCATCACCGCGCCTGTTGCAACTATTTAAACAACTCGAGCTGTAACTCTGAATTTTCAGATGTTTTTGTATTTCTTCCCGTAAATGTTTTGTAAATTCGTTAATAATAAATTTTAAGAGAGTTAATGAGATGAGTCAAGCAATGAAGAAAATGAGATTAGGATCACCATGGAGGTGAAAACGGAGATTATTGAAAAGATGGCATGTGTATCCGGGACATAGCTACGCGTATCTGGGACGTGATATACCATATTACAAGTACGATGGTGTCTGCAATTGTGAAAATCAAAGATGCCATTAAATCGGCCAACGTTGGGAAGGGAGTGAAATCAATTATCAAACAAAGATTAGAGACGTTAGAGCATGTTGAAAAACGCTTTTGATTTGGATATCAGAAAAACATTTATGTACAGTATCACATGCAATGCTTTATTTATGTACACTATATATTTCACCTACTGCATTTGTATTTCAGGATTAAACAGTGTTATGATAATAATAATAGAATTTTTTATAAAAATGGGTTGATTAATTTCCCTTTATTTCCTATTGAAAGCGTTCTTTTGGTATATTTGTAAGAATCTGAAACAGATTAATGAAGAATACGGAGGTACCATAGAGTAATATAATACCACTTGTACTTATATTTTTCACGTTTTTAAGTTTGTGCCATCTCTGTTACATCCTTCATCTTCCTATATGAATACCGGTCTCTTGCCATGAAAGTGATTCCTCTTATCTTGCTCTCAACTGTCTGCAATATTTGTCCAATATATGTAATATTTTCATATTTTTATTGAAGTTAATCATACTAATATGTATTTTTATTCTTTTCAGCCAATTCCAACTGTTCGTTTCCAACCCAGCATGGGTGGACCTTCACAGAATAAGAACGTTCCATCCGTTTCCTTCCAGGTGTCTCACCAAAACGGAGCCTGCAAGCCAGGAATGTTATTGATGGTACCTACCCCGAACTCATCCAGTATGTCCTCCAAATCACTTGGACACACTGATCTCAGTTCTGTTTCGGATGAGAACAGTTCATGTGACATCTCTCGCAGCAAGAACAGCACGGACGACACAGCTGCAGCAACTGAGGACGAAGAAGGCAGCAATGATGTCCTCAGGGACAATATAAAAAAATTTAACACATTGACTCCCTGCATCGTAATCGAAACTGAGGAAGAAACGAGCTTAGACAAAACAACATTGGATCCCAGCAACATGGTCTAGTCTTTCAGCAAGAAATAACATTTTTTGATGATTCTGTCTGCATTAAACCTTTTGTATACTTACTTGTGATATCTCAAGTGATGCAGACACTCAATGAAGATAATTTAACTTTATTTGGTGCAAAGCTAATCTGAGAATATTGGGAAGCAGGGAAGAGAAATTTTCTTTTAATGTTCTTGCTTTTCTTATTATTGAACATTATTTCTGAAGTTATTTGGATATTTATTATTGTTTTTTTCAGTTAGCGTAAATGTTCTGTTCAACAAGTTTTGTTTGTACATTTATGATCACCAATCTGTGATCACCTATATTTTTTCCACTTGCAGGACTGGAATTATCATTATTTTCGCAAGTTCTATAAAAATATCGAAAACAATAGTCCTTAACGAGCTGTGTAAGAACTTTCCAGATCTGTATGGCTGTAGCGCAAATGCATGTAATTCATATGCCATTCTAGTTCTGCTATTAAATCTTTTGAAAGAATGGGTAATAATAGAATTTTAATCTTTGCATTATAAATTAGACATCAAATGAAGGACCTAAACTATAAATTTTTTGGGGAACTCTGACATCATATTCTGAGTTACTAAATAATATGCATAAGATTGAACAATTATGAATTTCAATACACCATTAGCTCATTCTTTTGGACTAAAATATATTCCGAGATATATTGCTTCACAGATATGTACTTTTTGTGTCTTTCCTCATGATTTCAGATTAACTTTGTCCCAAATATGGATTACACAATGACAACATGAAAAGTACATTGAAATAAGACTCTTTGTAACGGTTTTTGCATATAATACCCAGACCTTTTGTACGAAAATTGTTAAAGCTTTTAGGCTTCCAGGTACTTGTATAAAGTGTTGGTACATCTGAAGTAGTTACCTGCAGCACTAAACATTTGTCTTACCGAAATATTTCTGTCTGTATTTGGAAAATGAATATAAAGAAGAATGTTAGTCTTTTAAGCTAGCTTTCTTTTCTAAGACTACCTTCTGTATGTATTTTAGAATTCGTTTTTCTTATCGCAGTTGTCCTCAGTTATTGCGTACTTTACTCGTAGTATCCCAAGCCATCATCATAATACGAGTTAATATTGCGTTTATCCAGCATCGCAATGTAACTAAGTATTGCACCTTTTAATCAATTTCATCTTTAACTCTTATACAAGTGGTATTTTAAACTATAATATGAATTATTAAATTCTTGCTTCACAAATTCCCACAGATATTCATAAATATTTTGACAACTTCTTTAAGAAGAATCACTTTAATATTTTAATCGAATTTATTTTGCACTGCGAGCAATATATTCAGTTTAAAAATCGCAGTACAAACCAAATTCGATTCTACAGTAGTTCCATATTTTAATTTAAATTATGGTCCAGTTACAGAATTTGCCTTAAGAAGACATTTTTCAGTACTTTTCTAATAAAAATCATTTACAATGTTTCAATCAAATAATAAATTTTCAATGTTTTGGAGCTCATATTAATTTACTTAAAATAGTAAATACTCATTTTTCAAGTTAATCTTTGCTATTTTTCACTAACAAAGCTGCAATATTTGCTAATTAAACTGCTTTCATTTTGGCTAGTCTCTAGCATTTATTCTTTACAATTTTACTTCATTTTTCATTTTAACAATAAATTATTAATTAAATTCTTAAAAATTGTTTAATTAAAGTAAATTCTATTACATATTGCATTGAATTTCATATGCATCTCATTGCCAAAATTTATTCTACTGTTAGCTGTGAATGAAGAATTAAGAAATTTAAATAGTAAATTTAATTTGAGTTTAAGTAATTAAATTTTCTTCCTTTCACTACTTTACAGCCTAAATGAAAGTAAAGGCTAAGCAACAATAGCTGTACTGGAATACTTTTCAACTAGAGAGTTTCGAGCTCTTATTCTGTTGATCTTAAGATAATTTAGAAGAATTTTACGCATTTCGAAGGCATGAGAAGTTACTCAAGACTTTACCTCAAATTTTATTTAAGGTACTTTCTAGCCTAAAAATCGATTTCTTCTGTTTGGAATTCAGTGCTGCATATCGAAAAATATTTTGTAAATTAAAAACGTAAAGAAGAAAGAGCATTTAAAATTCGCCAGTGATTACCTTAAAAACATTTTAACAAGCACAATAATAATTTGTTATAGATTTTGATGTTACACGGCGACGCGTTTTTCAAAAAGATTCCACTTTTTCAAATAACATTTTCATCAATAAGAAATAATGTTTTATATTGAGTACTAATTTTGATAAGACGCAGAATTTTTTTTTTTTTTTTTTTTTTTTTTTTTTTTTTTTTTTTTTTTGTTTTTTGTTTGTTTATGTGAGCAGCAACGAAAAATTTCATTTAAATAAGCTATATCAAAAAGTCTTCATTGTTTGAAAGAACACGTAGGGAGCACAAATCAAAATAACAATGATAAAAAAAATCAAAAAACGAAACACTTGATATTTCGATTTGCACAAGAATGTAAAATAGAAAGTTTTGAAATTCTAACTACGTACTAGTCATTTTCAAATTTTCTACTATTAGTGAAAGTATTTTGTAAAGTTTTAAAAATATGATATTGTTTACAATAATTCATATTGATGAAATTCACAAAATTTTGAGTTCCACAATTATTACCAAAGTGTACATTTCAGTACAAATGAAATTTATTGTCATTATTAGTTTTAAAATTTGATACAAAAGTAGTTATTACGTTTATGTACTTCTACGGAATTGCAGCAACCGCATTCTGTTCGCAATCTTTGTATAAGAACAATAAACAAATGCTTCTTTGAGAAAGAATTTTGTTTTTCTTCAATTTTTTTCATGTCTCGAAATTGCCGATATGTGTTTTAAAATCAAAAAATGAAAAAAACTGAGCAGAAAATTTTAAAAACTTGTGTGGCAATTGCATTCACATATGACAGAACAACTGCTTCCATATAAACTCCTAATTATCCAGCTTCGTTTCCATATTTACAAAATGATAAAAATGAACAATAGAAATTTTGACTCATCTACCTGCAACACTTATACACTCTCTCCTGAGTTCAGACGAGGGCTTTCCCTCACAACTGGCATAACTCGAACTTCTTTGTTATTAGGCAACCATATCTTGCGCGACGGAAATAAGCATTTTTCTTAAACTTTCAATTTTACACTAAGCTGATGTACGAATCGATTAATCATACCGAAGCAAATCCAAACTGATATCCTGTCAATGATGTCGATGTATCAGCTTCCCATTCACGCATGCGTAAATTTACTTTCTCTAACTGCCACACCTGTTAAATCTTCTTCAGCGAAGTTAATGACTTTTACTCCTTGTGACTATGAAAATAATCAACGTGAAACCTCGAACCTGAAATCCTAAAAAACATTCAGACAACAGGCTGAGTATTAATATGCATAGATGTCATAAACATGAAGAACATTTTATGACAGCAAACGTTTCAAGTATTTTTATCAAAACGCAAAACAATAATCTTTCCTATACTTTGCACGTGCCTAAAATTCATACTTATTTCGTTTAATTCCACATTTCTTTTTCAATTCCATTTGGCTATTTGTTATGAAAAAAACAAGCTTTTTTTAATTCCATTTGGATACTTGTTTTGGACAAAAATTTTTCCTAATGAAAAGAATATGAAAACGAAACACAGTATTATTCATGTATTAAAAGTGGAGTAGCCTGTTAAGCGTAAGTTACTCAAGTAGCACAGCATTGTCGTAAACTCGTCATTGTTGCAAACTCGTCGCAAATGTCGTTGCAATATGTCGTCTTTAAGACGCCCAGATGTCCGCCAACATCCACTGTTTTGCAACCATTCCAAAGACGTCGTTATTTCCGTCTTTTGCAGGTGATATTTTGGTTGTGAAAGCCTCGTATCACGACGTCTTAAAGACGCCTAAATGTTCGCCAAATTCCACCTTTTTGCAACATTTGTGAAAATGTCGTTATTATGTCCTTGTGTTACATATTGATATATGCAGGAAAATAAGCTTAATAATTAATCTATTTTTCTTCTTTTTTAAAATTTTGTATTCCTTGTATTTATCTAAAGTTTAAATATTTTATCATTTCCTGAAAACCAGAAGATAATACAATATTTTCTCTTTAGACTAAATATGCATAATTAATAATAGCCTTAATTATTTCTAGTACTTTAAACTATAGTTTTTAATTTTCTCTTTAGACTAAATATGCATAATTAATAACAGCATTAATTATTTTTAGTATTTTAAACTATATTTTTTAAATAACTTAAATTCTAAGTTACGATTATTTAAGATTTCATAATTTTTTCCTTAACTGAGAATAATTATGGAAGTGCTTATTATAAATATATAACATTAACAGTTGGTTTTAAGTAAATAAAACTCAATTAGACATAAATAAAAGTAAAGATATATGTGTTGTATAAAAATGAGCGTTTCTGATAACAGCACTATCACATTTATTTCTGTTAAATCTCAGAGACATTGGAAATTGATAAATTAGGAGGCAGTTCTTAAGGGAACTTAATCAGTATTTTACCTGAATTCAAGTATAAATATATTCGCGTTTCACAGTAAAATATATAACCATTAACTTCTATATCTCCAAGATATGCAAATGAAAAACAGCATAAAGTAGCTAATAAATGTGATCAAAAACATACCTAAATCTAATAACTTCCCCGTATTCATATCTAAAATGAAATAATAACTAAAAAACAACATACATGACAGCACTATTTAAGAAAAAACATGAACTAGTAGTGTTTGAAAGTATAAATAGCAGAGGGTAACAAAACTAAAATTTCCAATTAATAAAAAAAATATTTGTGTTTTTTAAATGATAAGCAATTAAAAGTGCAATAATTATGGATTGCAGTATTTACTAGTAATGCTGATGTTTCTTAACACCATTTCTTTCGATCATATTTAAACGTATTTACTTACTATTAGTTTCCACATTTTAGAAGAATAGTGGTAGATTACAATGATCATTTCATGCACTTTTTATAATCAATAACTTTTCTTTTGATACTGTACAGAAATAATTTAAATATAACAGTATACGGTAGTAAGCTAAGTACCTTAAAGTACGCCCTTCATTAAATAGCACACGATGAAACATTTGTTTTATTATGAATTTCTTTGTTATCACATGCACATAAAATGTAAGCGAAGAATATAGAATATGCTTAAATTTAGTAAAGAATAAAACCTAATTTCCAACATTCATTTATTCAGATAATCTAATAAACATACATAACAGCAATATTTAAAATAACGCGAATTACACAGTGTTTCGAAGAAAGCTACCAAATGACAAGTAATAAAACTGCAATTTGCAATCAATCAAAAAACATTTAGTGTTTTTTAATATTACACATTTAAATATCGCATAATTATAGATTACAATATTTCATAGTAATCCTAAAGTTTTCTTAACATTATTTTTTCGATCATATGCGGAACGTCTGAGAACCAACCTGCTCGTCTAATATGAGTGATATACGATATAGCACTTAGGACGTTATAACCAAATCCGTGTATCCAAATATTGCACCTCTGGATCACTGAAGATTGGAGAACACCACCATGTAAGTTTAATCACCAGAAACATAAAACACCAAACCAGAACACTATTTCACAGTAGGACGATTTTTTAGCACATTGCATTGTAGAAAGTAGATATTCACAAACAAAATAAGCAGAAATTCGGAATTACCACCAAGATTTCTCCTCAATTCAAAATAAACTGTTATCATTATATTCTTTTCCATCGTTCTCTTGCTGTATTGAAGCTCTCCAGTATTTAATTCCGACGGTGAATTACAAAACCGTGAAGAAAATGTTTTTGAAAATAAGGTTGAGCCTTAAATTATTGCGCTGTTAACTAACTTGTTCGAATTTGACAGCTAGGCAAAGCGTGCAAGCCTCGAGCTCAGATGTCCGTTTATTATATAATCATCTAGCAAATAATATGTACATGGAATGTCAATCAGTCTCGAACAGCAGTTCAGTCTAACTTTTCAGTTACGGTTTATACAATGGCATTAAACCTTTCGACGGTTCTTCTGATAATTTAATAGAATCTTTTTTTAAATGGGCCTAGAAGAATTATTTCAACTGGTCAAATTACGAACATGAGTTTGTTCACAAGATTATATTTACAAAAAAAAATATTTATCGGCTCACTAAAACATTTGTAATGTCAATATCGCCAAATACCGATGTGTACCATAACCTAGGATTAAACCAAGCATTTTTGAATGCATGAAGATGGACAAAAATGTAAAAACATAACAAACAGTTCACGAAGAACTTTTATAGGTAATAAATTTCATATTTTTGTTTAAAGTTTCTCTAATTTTGATATCAACATTTATTAGTATTTTATCAAAGCCATTAATTTTGTCCTTTTCCATTAAATGTGTTAACATTTCTTTCTCCTTTTCCATTAATTTTTCCGTTCTGCTACTCCTGACTGCCGGTGAGTTTTTCGTCAGATATATTGGACAGTCGTTAAATATGCGTGGATATGCAACGTCGTTTAACATTGGATGTTTTCTCGGAATTCTTAAAATCGCCCCATTTATAACCGTGAATACATCTTCACGTACAATCATACCTTCGCGAAAATTGTACTTTTTGCTCTGTATATGGTAAAAATGTTTCATATTATGCCAGCATATTAATTAAAATAAATTCGTCCTTACTTCAAAAATAATAAATAAAGTCATATTTCAGCAGTAAAATAATTGCTAACATGTGATTTGCATTGATTTCGGAAATATGATTTTTTAAATATATAAAATGCATAACTTAATAACTTACTTTATGGATTTGCTTCATTTTAAAATATTTTGCTATAATATTTATAAAAAAACTATTTTAACTATTAATTATTTTAACAATATTTTAACAATAATTTAGCATGTATGTTTAGTACTAATTAAATTTAATAATTTAAGTATTTATATTAAATTTATATATTTAATTAGATGAATCTACCTTAGATTAATATAGTTAGATGAAATAAAGTAATGAAACATTGCAAAATAAATCTTATGCGGACTTCAGATTTTTGAAAGGGCAGATATAGTCTATTTTCATTCGAAAAGTAACGCTGAGTAACTATGAAAAATATGCTAAAACGATCCCGTCTAAAAGCGGTCATATCATGACGTTTCAGCGACGTCGATAAAATTGCCAAGATGCAACGGCAAATATTTTGCGTCTTCGCAACGTTGTAAAGACGCCGTAAAAGTTACCACGACCACTTCGCAAACTCTCGGACCAGTTTGGGCAACGTCGTTACGACGTTGCCGTGCTACTTGGGTGGCAGCCTACAAGAACACATATCTCTCACCGAAATTCGCGTCATGCGAAAATGGCGTCATGCGTCTTCTTACAACTGGTCGTCACGTCTTACATTATGTCTGTATTTGGAGTAAGTAGAGTTACTAGCATCTTGATCAACGGTACACGCAGGCAGACGTTTTGTATCTTTTATTATGTATCTATATGCTTGACATCAGAGGTATAAACATTGAGAAGCTCGTAAATCATAATTATTATGCTTCGATTCATTTTTCAGACTTATATTTTTGCTTTAACTAAGTTTAGGCGACTTACTCCATAATACACTGAAGACGTTAAAAAAAATTCTTACGTGCGCTTGATTATATCTGTACTCAAAGAGCCTCAGCTTGGGAGAAGTTCAAAAGGAAAATTTCTCATTTAAGATTTCTCCAGTAATGTTCAGCACCATAGAAGACCAGTGTACATGCAAAAGCTCCCCCTCCT